CTATCGATAACTCGGTGTGCAATGAAGTCGGTAAGCATATTATCTTAAACAGCACTGTCAGACGGTGCACAGGACGAATCGTTAAACAGCTGCTGCTGTCGTTTTAGATGTAGGTATGTGAACGGGTTAGCCGGTTTATTATTATTTTTTTTTTCCGAATCGAAAGTACAAAATGGTATTCCTAGGTATTTGCCATTGTCATGGATGGTTATTGGCTAATGCCCACATAACACAAGTCACAACCCGAGTATTATGCTCGGTAGACAGTATACGTTGCACAATGCCAAGGAACCGACAGCAAAACAATAGTAAAACGCCGATTATATATATTACAGTCGAACGATAATAACACAGGGTGTGTGTGTGTGTGGTGCTAACGACCACAATAATAACAATTACAAAGGTAATATAATGTAAAGCGTGAACTTGTGCATTACCAGATGTGTTGTGCATCCTAAAAATCAACGTGTGTTCGGTGTATTGTTTCGACCGAATCGTGAACCACGGTCTTACCCGACTCGATCAAACGCCCAGTATCTAATCATAAGTCACGCGTATGCCAAAGTTTTGAAAATGATATGCTCTGAATTATTTACCACACCAGTATACGCCCAGCCGTGGTAGGCTACGTCCCTACACTCTCTTTTCTGTCTTCTAGCATGCAAAATTGTCTCTGGCCAGCATTATGCAAAAAAAGTATACGGTTAAAATTTTAATTTCGGCAAAAGTGTAACCAAGAGTCGACCTGGGAAAAAAATACCAACTCTTATCGTCGTAAAAGGAGAAATTAAAAACAAAATTGAAGTATTCGAATATAGTATTTTAAAGGTACTCGTGTTTGATATAAACATTTTTGGTCTTGGTTATATCTATTAGATTTTTCGATTATTTAAAGTAAATCAACCACCTTTTTTTTTGCTAAACCACTTTTAATATGTTTAGGAAAATATTTGTATAATTTTTTGTCGTCGGAATTTATACACTTTTAACACAGGAAAATATGTTAAATAATTATTATACTATTTTGTAATTACTGTTACAATAATTTAAAATTGTTTTAATTATATTTTACCTAAAATCATATTAATCTGAAAACTGATATTTAATTAAATGGCCAAAAATTTAGTCAACTGCAAAAGTGTGTTATTTAATTAATGTTTTGTGAAATTGTCCGGGCTCAATTATATTATATTTTCCCCATATATGGTAAAATACAACAAACAAAATACTTACACTAAAATATACTTAGAGTAAATTATATTAGTTTTTTTTACTAGATAATCATACGCCGTAGAGCGTTTACATCTGTAACGTTTGTGAACACATTAGAACGCTATGCGATTATTTTAATAGTATATATTTTATTGTCTTCTATTTTACTTTACAAGGAACCGTCGCGTCGTGACTTAGTGCCTCTGTTTGTAAAAGTACATAAATATAAGAAATAAGGCGGACTTATTTAGTAATGAAGTGTCATTATTTTAGATTTTAGCTTTATTTCTCGAAGTCGTTCACAACAATTTATACTATTAAACTTTTAAGTACCTAATTATTTTTTCCTTTTTTAAAATACCTGCTTTGAGTAACAGTGTATCTATGAATATACAATATCTAAAAATAAATCAAGCTATATCCTCGATGATATCGCTAGATTGTAAAAAAGCAATTTTCAAAAAAAAAAACTGATAAAAATACTACAAAATAAATACAATACAATTACATTACTGACCGACACATAAAAAACAATTGTGATTTATTTATTAGATACAAAAATTATGTAATAAAATTTGATTAGTAGTTTGTCAAATCTAAAAAAGAAAAAGTATCTAATTTTTCATAGTTTTATTAGCTTCAAAAAGTTTTTTTAGTGACGTTAAAAAACCATCAAGGAATTCAGTTATATAACCTCTTTACCAATCACATAAATTTCAAGTTAACAAAATTATGTTTAATTTATTAAGGTGTGTGCTATGCATTTTCGACTGTTAAATAAACCCGTATATTAAAATGAATAAATAAACGGTAACGCATACCTACTTAGGATTCGAAATTTCCTACTTGCATGAACTGTTTATATATGTTGTATATTTAAGATGCAAATAAACGCACATGCATCTACATAATATATAATAAATATAATACAATAATTTCAATAAAGAAAATATACTTAAAATAGCATTAAAAGAATGTATATTTTTAGTACTTAGTAGTAAGTAGTTCACTAATAATAATAAAAACCACATAACATAATGTTAATATCGTGTCAACATACTTTTAAGCTATTTGCTTCATCGTACATCAATAAATTATAGCTATATATTTATCTAAAATTACTCATCATTGGAAAACTTGATTAAATATTTCTATATTATATTTTCAAATTTCTATTTTTATTACTTAGAAATTGGCAGATAGCCTATTTTCCGATTCAGAAAAAAAACATCCTATTAAATCTAATAAATTGTAATGTTAAAATTTCTTCTAACTTTTTTTTTTTACCTCAAATATAATTTATTTTTATACGCGACATTTTTATAAGTTAGATTAGGCTTTATTTAAAAATACATTTATAGGTTAATCTATTTTGATGTTATCTACACACCTTAATTATTATTCATAAGTCATGATATGCTAAAATCGTTGGAATTCCTTCTTTCTCTTTTAACGACCTAAATTTGTTACTGGAAACCAAATAGTAAATGTAACCAAATGTAATATTTATATAGCGGCATCGTTTTTCTTTTGTATATTATAATTAATGTAACTAGACATTTATTAGTCAACAACGTATGAAAGATTTCCAGTTACCGCACACACTGCCCACTTATAAATTCTCTCGTTAAAATCATTTATTGCTTTCTTGATGTCTATTGTATAATAATAATAAGTTGTAGGTAAATACTTATCATGATTAAGCACTATTGTTTATGTATTTAGTTAGTACATAATATATTTAAAGCATTAATGTTCCTCATTAAATCACAATTTTATTTTTATAATTAGCGAAATCTAATAAATGTCTACCGTTTCACTGCGTTCTGTAAATTCTGTAGAGAAAATTTCAAATAAACATCTCCAACATTTTTGTCAATCTAAAATCTACCTCATAATATGAACAATTTTATAGTATTTTTCATTAAAATAGAGTTAAATAGAGTTCAGGTGAAATGAACAAGATAAATATGAGAAGAATGCATTGTATAACGTAAAATAAATGGTATTTTCAAAACAAAAAAACAATTATTCGGAGTAACAATTTTAACATTTAGAAAGATTAAAGCTTAATTTTCTAGAATCGTGAGTTAATGCTAGAAAATAATCGAGAAATCAAAACGTTTCATACCAAAATAATATTATGGTACAAATGTATCATTAATATTCCATAAGGTTATACCAAGTAAGTATAAGTAAATTTGTATAATAAATTATACCTTGTCATGAATTATGAGTTCTAGCAATGTAATTTATCCTGAATTAATATATATATATATAAAGACTCAGGCCAATTTTTTCTAAAACAACTGTACTTAATGAAGTGTTAGGTGAAATGTACCTTCATAAAGTTATCAATATACTTAGATAAATGCCAAAAAAATTCATTAATTTTAAAATAAACGTTAAAATCCTTTTTCAATCAAAACATAAATTAAACTGTCTCTTGGCATATAAAAATAATATTTGGTAACAAAAGTTTAACATGCTTAATATTCTACAAAATTACTTCTTCAGAGAGTTCTATAATTAAAAAACGATGTAAGACATTTTTTTTTAATTGTTTAGATACCATGAGAATTGGTCAATTTTTTTTTAAATAACTTTTTTAGAAAAATTATAAACAAATAAAACAAATGATAAATAATGATTTTTTTTTAAAAAAATTATGTTATGATTTTGGTTAAAATTTTGTAAAATAACACACGTATAAGAACCTTTAATTACATTTCAAAATTGCGTTTACATTTATTAGTTTTGTAACATATTTGTACATCAAATCTAATAGGGCTCATCTGACAATAGCTGTTTATATGTTTTTATTACATTAAAATGGTCACTAAATTTTTTTGACAAAAAAAAATTCCTTAACTTTTTCAAGCTTATTTTTTAATTATTTATTTAGTAACTTGCTGATCGAGAGGTTGTAATATTTATTAAAATGAATTAGTCCGCTATACATGTTAATTAAAACACTTGTAAAAAATATGATCACAGTACACAAATTAAAAGCTTATTTTCTACAAGTGATGAAAACATAAAAACCGACCCGGGTCGGCCCTTTTAGATTTAAAGGACTGATTTATATTTAAAAATTAACTGTCGCAGAGCACTTAATTTAATATATTTATCTTTCAATTTCAATCATAAAACTACAACTAATGTTGACTATTTTTTTATAATAACAAAAAATATAATATATATATATATATATATTTCTTTAGTTTTTTGACGACTTGTCGAACGTGGCTTCATAAATCATATTTTGTTTTTTAATTGCCTCCAAAGTTATAAGCAACTTACAAAACATAAGTCATAATTTTATAACTTATTTTTCATTAAAAAAACTAATAACCTTACATCTATTCTGAGACCAGTTTTTAGTTCAATAAAACTATAATACATACTTTAAAGAAAAAAAAAATTCAAACTTAAAAAGCACACTCAGATCGTTAAAATCACCACTGAACAGCGTTTTTGTACAAACTCTGGAGAGGATTTAAAAATATATATATAGACGTGCCAGTAAAATTCGGTGGCCAGATTCGTAGCCAGCCAAAAAAAAAAAAAATCAAAATAAACATAATATGTATTTAGGCTCACATTTCAAAATCGTATAGTACGGTCTGGTAATTAAGTGCAGCTGCCTGTATTCTTTGTTAAGATTTTTAGTGGCGGTTAAACGATACAGCGAATAATTCGGTAACTTTGAAGGCTTGTAAATCCTAAGTTCTATTTTAACGTATCTATCTATAATAATAACGAACACTTAAGGTTATCTTACTGACCTGCAATAACATCTCGGTGTTGTCGGCAGACGTTCCGGACGGCGACTAGGATTCGAACGCAAAATTATACTGTGACGAAGACTACAACAGAGGCAGCGACGGGCGCCCAGGCACACACACTTACATACAGACAGACAAACAATATTGTCTAACGGTAACCGGTCCCCTGGAGGAGAGTCTCCGGGGGCGAAAATTTCACTTGTTAAGGTCACGGCGATTGATGATCTTAACTACATATACAATGCAAGAAGAGGAAAAAAGCCTACTTAAAAAACGATATACCATTAGACATAATATGTACGATTGACTTCCGGAAGTGTTGAGATTATCGACATGTACATGTCATTACATCTGCATCGCGTTATCCTTGTAAAACGTGCCAAAAGTATTCGACCGAGAAAATAAAAAACACACTATACCCAAAGGAAAAGTCTTACGGGTCAACAATATAATATTCAGAAATTAAAAGCTTTTTTATTTTTTTTTTTGTTAACGTTATAATATTACATTAGTTGTATTAAATTTTTAAAAATACAATGCATATAATAAATTATGATATATATATATATCTTTAAATTTCATAACGAATAATAAAAATTTAACGAAACACAACCTTTAACAAATATAGGTACATCCAATCGATGTCTCACGTGATTTATTATATGTGTGGAAGTAACGGTAATAATAAAATACATTTTGAACTCTGACATTTGCCTAAGGTAATAATAAAACTTTCTTGTAACCGGCATAGTACTTAAACCCCAAAACGCAAAGTATTTGCCCGCGCAAAACTCAATCGAGATTTAAAAGATTATTTTTTGGAAATCACTTTCAACAGTGAAGAAATTACCTTTTAGTAATATAAGGCCGTCGCGTCGTTACTGTTGTCCGTTTCGGAAAATAATCATTTTTTAATAGCTTCGTCATACTTTTATGGTGTAAACTGAAAGTAAGCAATAATATTATACGAATAAATATGTTTATAATCCTCAGGCGTAAGTGGACGATTGGCTGGGTCGTCAAAGATTCACACAAGACTGGACATAACTCGTTAGTAAAAAATCAAGTTAAGTTATTAAATCCCACTAAATAAATTATTTGTAAGCTGCAATTTTTAGTATTATAAATACATGTTTTTGTAATATATGTTTTTAGGTCACATATTGACAGGAAATCAAATATTCTCAAAATATAAAGATTTCCTAAGTATAATAAATTAAAATAAATATAATTACTTTTAAACTTTTAAATAAATAATTTACTTATAATATTTTCCATTAAACCTCCACACAACTTTAGAAAAAAAAAAAAATATATATATATATATATATGTATATTTAATTTGATGTTTCGAATTTAATTAATAAAAATGTTTAAATAATTGGAAATATTTCAAATGCATTATTTATTATTTCAATATTTTCATAATACATCATTAAAACACCTTTAATTTTGAATTATTGGCTTTAAAAAAATCGTTATTTTGTAAATTAAATTAAAAAAAAAATTTAACGAACGAATTCAAATGGTTTTAAACTGTATTTACAAAATAATTTGGTTAAAGTTGAGTTTAGTAGAAAATATTAAAATTACATTAAGGGTTTAAAAATAATTTACGTATAATTTTTTTATTAATATGATATTAATGATGTTCCAATTTTTAATTCCCTGCCAAAATTTAATTTGGAAATATTTTGTCAATTTTGACGAATATTATAAAAATAAATTTTAAATAACCGCTGTGTGATTTAAATAAAATTTAATTATTTTAATGCAAAATTAATTGATTCAATTATTTTAATTTGAGTATTATCTTAATTATTTGTAAACGTTTTGAAAATTAAAAACATTATAAAATTCCAAAACTGTTGGACGGGACATGTACAGTACGGTAAGGGTTCAAGGTGTAAATTGTGAAATTCTTAGGAAATAAGTACAATTTCCTGCTATTATTATGACTTAGAACACGGTGTTGTTCGATTTCCTGGGCGTTGTATTAAAAATAAAAATCATATACAACATGGTCGGCGCATCGCGTTTGGTGAAATTTCAAACCGTCCTATCCACATTGCAATGTCGCATTATCTTTACCGGTCATTCACGTTTACTCTGCCATGGTATTATTGTAACTTGTAAGCAGTAGCGTTTTATCATTTGTCAATAAAACCATTTTTAACGTATTAAAAACGAGCTACAGCTGCTGTTGCTTTCATTGTGCATATTTTAAATATATCAAGAGTCACGACACTTGCATTTGTAATATTAATAAGATTTGCTAAGGATTTGGAGTCTGCAATGGGCACTTAGAATTTTTTTTATTAATAATAACGTGTAATTTATTCAACGGAACCCACTCGTAGTGTGATGTCAAATGTTTTTTTTATTTTTTTTTGGTGACCGAAGAGGAGAAATCGTCGAAAACCGTTTTGTTAGATAACGTGTTGATGACAACTCTTTTGATTGGGGGGAGGGGGGGGGGAAGATGCGACCTAATAATTATATCATCATTGTTATTGCTATGTTTTATAGCTTTAACTTTAGAACGACCAAGTTGTAAACACCCAAATCAAACGTGTTTTGCTAGTAACAACAGTGTATTGACCGTGGCGAGCATTGCGCAAAGTATCGAGTAAAAGAAAATTACCGAATTTCAATTAATACATAGCAAAGTATATTATGCTTAAGTCTTAAAAAGTTTTATCGTTGATGTATAAATCACCGGACTATTCGGACACACCGTGTTATAGTACCTACCCGTAATACTCCTACGGCAATAGCAGCTGCTGTGATCGCTAAGTATAACTATACGCTGCTAAAATAGGTTAGTAGTTTTAGCTAAGTACAGATTTCTTTTTTAAAGTGAATTAATGTGTTTCAAATGAGAAGTCGCGGGGCTACACTTATTTTTCCGGCGTCTTTTTGTTGCAACCTTTGCAGTTCTTTTTTTCTTCTTGTTCTTTCATTCGGTTGATGACCGGCAACTGATATAAAATGTAGTCGAGGTTCTCTTTTTGTTTCATCGGTCCTTTGGGGGCACCGCCGCCGGGTTTCCCCCAAAAGTCTTGCCAGTTCTGATTGTGCTTTTGACCTTCTAGCATTTCTTCTTCGTGTTCGTGCTACGTGGAGAATCATTGAATCAAAGTAATTAGTGTTTTTCAAAATTAAAATATGCGACGTGACCCGACTCACTTGAATACGGTGCTGGCGGCTACTGATCTGTCTTTGAAGGAACTCGTTATATTCTTTATCGTCAATCGAAAAACTGAAAGAAAAAAATGATTAACGGTTAGTATAATTATTTATGTCTGATGAGCTTACATAATGGACATTTTACAATTAAGCATTAGGCCTATCACCTATCGTACACATATACTCTCACTATAGACTTCAGGACGGAAAAAAGTATGATAATGAATTATTACCACTATAAGTATGATCGATTTGAGGTAATATAGAATAATGTGTTCTTTGTATTCGACACGAACAAATTTATAACAAGATTAGAAAGACGGCGAAATTATTAATGTACGCAAAAAACCCGTTAAATAAGAATTACGCTTATTAAGCATACACTTATATTATTATGTACCAGAGCAAAACATTTTTGACTCAGGTCTTAAGTTTAAAAAAAACCCAAAAATACATTTTTGAAAATGGAAAAAAACAATTTAAAAAATGAATATTTAACATGGGAAAAATGTATAATAAAACCTAAGTTTATTTTTTCACGGGCATAAACAGTATAATTTCATCCTATCGTATACTAACATTCACATAAAATAAGTATCTGTTCGCAAACATAACATACACAAAATCGAACCTAAGATGTATAACTTTTAATTAGCAAATAATAATAAACCTGCAAAAATAATCCCCGTCTCGAAAAAATAAAGCATGTATTAGCAGTATATATAAAATTAAAAAAATATATATAAATAAATAAGTATAATAAAAGCTAATAGTCAGATTTTCTATTTAAAAATATATAGATAATTAAAAATACAAGGAAAAATAAACACAATATTTAAAAGTAAAAATAATTTATTTAATGTTTATTCTGCTTTTTTGTTATTTTATAATTACAAATAATATTAATTGTTATTTTAATATTTTAAAATGGTTTCAAAACATAATTTCAATTATTTTTTAATTAATTATTTAGTTGGTAATATTTACGTTTGTTTTTCCCTTTATACATTTAGATTTATTGTATGATGTTGATATCTATTTGTTTTAAATTTAAATTACTTATAATGAATCTTTATATGTATGAAAAAAAAATTATTTAGTAACTGCAATTTATTTCCGTCATAAAGAAATATTATTATTATTATTATTAAAACTATTATTTTCTCATTGTCAATTATTAATGTTTTGTGTTAGAATAAATAAACTTGTTATAAATTAACATAATATTGTTTAATTCTTGTCAACCTAATGCGAATTAAGTTAACAAGCTTTTAGTATTTGGCCTACATAGTCCACGCACACCCGCCGTTCCATCATTCTCTCATTTAAGCTACTTTCATTTTTTTTAACAACTAATAACTACTCACTTCCTTAATTAAAAGTTGATAATAATGTAGGTAAATTATTTTTATTAGTTGTATTTTTTAAGTAATTTTACTTAGATTTAGCATCGTAAATCTCAGTCACGTCGCTTGAGTGTAAAGGCCACTTCATAATTTCTTGTTTTTTTCTCATTGCCAGCAACGGTGCTAATTCTACGCCTCCAGTGATTTCTTCCTATAAATTGAAAACATTTGTAATAATTGTTAAACAAATATATAAATAATATAATCAATTTGTTGATTAAAACAGAATTACAATTATTATTAAAAACAAAAAATAGATATCCGTTTATGTACACAAGTCTTGAAAAAGTTTTCTATCCTGCTCTAATCCAAAAACGGAAATAAATGTATATTTTCTGAAACTACTTGAGATGTAAAGAAGTATATTAAATATAATTTTGTAGGTTGTTGTTTTTTTTATATATAAAACTGTACTTCATTTTTTTTTTTTATTCATTTTTTTTCTAACTTCATTTTAATTTGACCGTACGGCACCGTATAAGGGTAATCCAAAATAACTGGCCCGTAGGTATACAATTTAAGACAATAATAATTATAGGCTTAAGTTGTAACACAATATAAAAGTTAGAACCGCTAGACAGGGTCAACGATATACACTCTTTCTACTTATATTTTACAATAAACGAAAAATTAATGTTTTAAAATGGATTTAATGGTAAAATTATATAAACCTGAGCCAACAATTAAATTCGCAACACGTTCAATGCAATTTAAAAAAATGTAATGATTTTCTATTTCTGTCCATCATAGCACAGATTACATTTTTAAAAACTGGTTTTTAAAAATGTATACCTAATATTTAAAGAAAAACAAGTATGCATTATCCCCTCACTCTCCAGAAAAATTCAAAATTAGACCACCCTAAGTATTAGAAATTGTGTAAGAAAGTTATTATAAGTCTCTATGTTGCATACAGATCGACAGAGACAGAAAATCACAGTCATAAGAACTACAACTAAATAAGATCACAAGATTAGTTTAATGAATGAAATTAAAAATGTTAAATTAAAAAATTAATATAATATTAATTACTATTAATATTTTCTCGGCTCTGACTTCAGGGTTGTCGTTAGGGTGCGATCCTATATGCATATTTTTACCGTCCTCGAATCCCTATAAAAAAAAAGAATTAAAAAAAGAGAAGTAGATAATTAATAAATAGCTAGGTTTGTAGAATCATTGTCATAGCTAAGCGTATAAGCTTTACGCAAAGAGTAGATAAAGCAAATTATAAGGTATTTATGTACATGTAATATCTATGTGTTGTAGTCAAATTGTTATGACATCGTAGAACACCTTGCAGAGTAGTATGGTCTAAAAACGGACAACAAATTTTGTTTTTAAATTCTTCTATCCCCAATGTTTTTTATAGTATAAAAGTAAATTTAAAACATTAATTTTAAGCCATCGACCGAATGCGTTTTTTAACTATATAAAATAGTACAAATAATCATACATGTGGACCACTACAATTGAAACTTTTTAATTAGATGGCTCAAATTTCATTACTTTTGTTTAGACTTTATAATTTTTAATGATAAAGACAGATGTATAGTTTTACGGTCTACATACGTTGACACCCGAACAGCGAACAAATATTAATATTTTCAAATTAAAAAATATTTTTTAATCCTGACTATTTTGCGTAAGGAAGTATAATTTTAATTTTAAATGATATTAAACCTAATGTTGTTTAAGTATTATGAACATAATAGTGCCATAGTTTTATTTATAATTATGATAATATTTTCTAAATTTTGATTATACTTATATAGAATTTTTTTGCTGGTTTTCAAGTTAAACATGGACTGCAGATATTTTCGCATACGAAGTCGGTGGAAAATTACTAGAAAAGCAATGCTATATGAGTTATTTGGACAATTAAAAGATATAACTACTTATAATAATAATTATTATTATTATGTCGAAGCATATTATTAAATGTATTATCAACTCTTATTATATTTTGTAATACATTTGGTAATTATTTATTATCAACTATATTAACTGTTTAGCCATAATATTACAAATGAAAGCGTATTAAAAAAACTATTTTTTTAGCATCTAGTACGTATAAGCCAATAATAAGGCATAGTATAAAATTTGAGTAATATCAATAGCCAAACACAGCATCATGTCTAGAATACTTAAAAGCAGTAAAAATACTATATTTTTATGATAAAGAAAATATAAGAATAAAAAAAAATCATCTGTTTACAGTAGTTTTTGAATTAAAATACAATATGTCATATTGCCGTTACCAAAGAGCGAAAGAAGTTTTTGCCCACACTCTTTGGATCTCTCCAAACCACACCCCCTGGGCATGGTCTTCCCCAAGGATCAGCGACCTTGCTCTGGTAAATCATTTTACAACTAACCCGTTCAGTAAACAAGTATGGACATATTTTTGTGTATTACAAATTTGAGGAAAAAGAAAAAAACGCTTACCAATTGTTTGTCTTTTATCAGGTCTTGTTTTCGGTTTTCCGCCACTATTTCTTGTTTCTCTCGAACCATCTCGTCTGCAAAAAAAAATACATCAACAGCTGTTGTATAACAATACAGTATTAAGGGGCATCAGTATAGGCAAACAAATAAACAACAACGCACTTGGCCGCTGTAAGCTTGAATTTTTATATGACGTTCACGCGGTTAATTAATAAAAAAAAACAATACCGTCAAGGTACAACCAAGTATTTTTTGTTTGAGAGGACATTATGCTCGTTAATTATTAAGAGGTATAGAACATTTTTGTTTTGCAATATCAATTGAAAGCCGGAAGGGTAACGTCAACGGAACAATTTTATATTCAACTATATTATACTCAATTTTTTTTAAAAAACAGTTTTAAATGCCCTAAACTGTAAATGGCTAAACAACATGTACAAAACAGTTTCACGTTACTTTTTAATTATTAATTTTATACTTTCCTGACTGGGAAGTATTCATGGAAATGTGATAATTTTGACTTCATTTTTTTTTTAAATACCCAGTGTCGTTTTTAATGAATTTAATTTACAACAGTGTATGTTTTGTAAGCTGAACGTATACCAATCAGGAGTTAATTTATGATCAAACATTTTCTTTTTGGCGATTTTGGTAGGTTTTTCAATACATCTTCAATACAGTTAATTCATTTAATCTTAACTTTAAAAATGTATATCCAACAAACTATTAAAACTAGAGACATTGATAAATTGAAGAGTGGAATCAAAAAAGGCTCTAAGTGCCATTTTTTCCAAAAATTATTTTTTCAGCCAAAAAGTATTTATGTTCCAACGCCAATGTAACGCAATAAGGCAGAAATTTCCTCGTCAATTGTAATTCAATATATTATGTTTATAATCAATGATATTGGTTACGATAACACGGGTACTGGTGTAAAAAAGAAAACTGGGTAATTAAAATTATACAATTACTTATTATAATTAAGTAATAAAAACCCGGAGACCCGTGTATTTTCATTACCTGTTCAAACCCGTAATCTTTAATTAAAATTGAATTTACGTCAACAAGTGTTAACACTACTAATTACTATATTATTTTTAACAATAAGTGTCTTTCATAATTTAATCTAGCAATTCATAGTTATGTTATTGTTACAACTAACGCAAAAAATCAACAAGCAATAATAATGCTAATCGAGCAAATAATAGCGTCCATGAGCAAACTACTTACTGAGTAAGCAATACGAAATAAGATAAGGTTTATAATCCGATGAAAAAATATATAATATATTTATTTGTATTTTCATCTAGATATTATTTTAACTGCTATACAACTGAGAAGTTTACGAAACTTACTATACAAATATTTAGGTATAATAATAACAAAACATTTTGTTAATTTTGCTGCAAAGCAATATTCTACGTCCATATTAATATTTGCAAACAATAAATCTCTTTATTTATTGGGAAAGCCATTGAATCATAAATATGTCTTTTGACGTTGCAAAAAGATATGTTCATGACAAAAAAAAATAGCTGGTATATGGATTATATGCATTTGAAATAAGTGAGCAATTTCAATATAAATTGAGGTAATATTTTAGTGCAGCTCCTAATTAAACTGACCTAAGTAAACCAACGATAGAACCCCAATTAATTGTATAATATTGCGTTAGTCGTGAACAGTGATAATAATACTGTGGTCATTACTTTAATAATATTATTAGAAAGTGTCTTTAATAATATGGTTACTTGTCACGCGGTTTGACGAAATATAATTTGTCTTAATTAGTACCCATTACTTGTACTGATATTATATGATTATCAATAATAAAATTGTAATAGTGTCAATGCAAATCCAGAGCAATTTTCGTTTTATATACACGTTTTCCTTGATTAAAAACTTGTATGTCTGTGAGAATATTAAATTGGGGCTAAATCCACTCTAATTTCTAATAGACCACAAATAAATGCAGTTTAGCAACCAGGCCATTATTTTTAAGGGGGATTTGAAAAACGTATCCTTCTCAAACTGGATATTAAAGAGGAAGGGGCTATCCTACGATTATCGTCGACTTACCCAATTCCGATTTGTACACTCTTTGCTCCTTAATCGAAGTGCGATATCTGAAATCATTGTCCACCATGTTTCTGTCGGGCGCGTGAAATTGAAACCGCAATTGAGGATCTTCGATTTTGAAATTTCTCATTTTTCCAGAAGTAGTTTTAACAGGCGCGCCTCCTCCAGGTCTGCCCATTTTTGTTACATCGTTGCTGACTTCCTATAATTATTTGTTGATAAATCGTATACTTAAATTTTATTTAAAATGAACTATAGCCAGCTATCGTCTTAACGCCAAATGTACCTACTTTATAAAACAAAAAGTTCACTTTTACAAATATGTGAGAAGACACACTAAAAATGTATCGTTTTTTTTTTAACTTTAAAATACCACACGCTATAATTTTTAGATAAATCATAAAAAAGGTTTCAGGTTTGTTTGACTTTAAATTGTATAACTCTACCATATCAGTAGATCTGACAGTTGATCTAGTGTGTAAGTACGAATACTATTAAGGTCAAACTTTTTTTTAACGAGGGAGAGTTAAGAAAAACCTAATACTATGTAAACAGTGGACACATTAATTGTCTATTTATTGATTTATAATATCTAATAGCTTTAAACATCGAAAATGGGAATTTAAAAATTACCTTACTAACTTACACCTTACTTAGTACAAACAAAATCAAATTAAAAATATAAATTAATTTTCTGACATTGCTAAGAACCCATAAGCTTTTTTTTTTGTACAAACAAATTTTAACCGACTTATTGATAATTTGTATTGACTGTTACACTTAAGACCGTTAAATAAACGAAATGATTCATTGCCATTAATCGTGGCTCTAATGATGTGTTTACCTTCAAAGGCGGTGAAGGAGGGTCCTGGAATATTTTCCTTTTCCTAAGGCCATCGTCGTTAGGGGCACCGTGTCCTGGTTTTCCCCAAGGGTTGTAGTCGTCCACCACTGATGCAAGTATCTATAATTTTATTTTTTATAAAAAAAATACTTGTTAGACATTTCCCCTACACTCCAAACATTAACTATAGTTTCTATGTTTTTTTCCGATTTGTTCGAAAAATGTATACTTTTATAATATTTACACACATAGACGTTTTAAATTCTAATATGTTCTCTTATTTTTTTTGGTAATATACAATAATGAAAAATAATTAAAAAAAGTCTAACGTCTTTTACTATGTTGACTGGGATTTAATTTTAAAAATATATAGTTATTTTTAAAAAAAATTATAAAAATATTAGATTTATAATATTTTTGAACAAACTTAAAAGAACCGTTTTAAAAAAAAATTGTATACTTATCAATTGAAGGGCTCAGGGGAAGAAGGGTAGTAGTCAATTTATGAACACTTTTTTTTCAATATATTCTATTAATTTTTTTTTATTTATGTCAATAGATTGTTTAAATAAATACATTTTTCAGTAGAATAGAATTAATGTGATTTTTTTTGTTCTTATGTAAGAAGGAGAGGAATTCACGAACTTTGTTTTTGCTATACTCTAAAATTTTCATAGATGGACTACTACCCTTCTGTCCCCGTGCCCTTCAATTGCTTTGTAGTCAAAAAATGACTATTATATATTTAAAAAATATTTGTAAAATATTAACATTTTTGTGCTGTCTATCTAATGTTGGCCGCCAATCTTGTTGGGCTTAACACATCATCTTTGAACTTACTTCTTTCTGTTCATCGCACGTGCGACCCTTTTTCTTTTCTGAGGCCGAACACCGTCCACCGCATACTTGTTCGTCATTTGCCATCGTTGTTAACCCTCGGACCACGATTTAGGTATAAAGTTAATGTCAATGTTTGTTATTCAACCGAAACGGTTCACTCCTGCGAACACACTCTTATATAGCTGTCGTTAAAGACTGCACTAAGACATTAGATAGACCCAATACGTTAGGCGCGGCCAATTGAATTCGGCAAGAGTTTAAAAAAATTGTTTTTTTACAAATTACTATACAATTAATAATATACTTAACCGTGCCGTTTGTTTTTCGCCAATAGGTGGGTTAAGTAATTGTTGTTCGACCTTCGTAAACGTTTAATGTCGTTCACGGTCCAGCGGTGCCGGAAACAATGGTGATATTCTTTTAACTTTTTAATCAAAGATACAAGTGGCATAACATTTTCATTCCATTCGATAGGTGCGGTTTCTACTTACATGCAATATATAGACCTTACTTACAATCAATTTTCTAAAGAAAATGTAAATCAACTAACCCATTTTGTTGGGTTTTCTCTCGTTAATTTTCCGTTAGGTTAGGTTACGCAGATTTACTCTAATAAGCGTTAAAACATCAAACGGCCTAAAAAAAAACACGAATAAAATAAAATAGAAAGATGAATTCTAGTCGGCCTATGACTGCATTTGCTATAATACACGATGACTTAAATAGATTTTGTACTCTTGTACTGCTCTGATATTTTACACTTGACGTTATGCTATTTCGATCCAAAACTAGAGTTATTAACACATTTTATGCTTTGCAAGCCGACCGGCAAAAGCCTATATAATTATTATCAGGATACTATTTCCTGGTAATCGCCGTAATCCGAATTTCAATATTAATGAACAAGTCAAGTAGGGCAAATGTAAACGACCTCTTCACACAAGCGTGAATGAAAGCGGCAATATAAATTAATATGTAACACGTGAACGCGTGTATGGAAAACCTTTTTTAAAATCATCATAACAAAGAATCTCGCTTTTCATATATATATATACAAAGCATAATTATATGTATACACGATACTATATATTCTATTATAAAATATTATGCGCGTAAACAATTATATAAATGTATATATTTAATTAATAAAATAGGGCGTTCCAATTATTTGAGAGTACACCGTTTGATGGTATTTTTTAAAAGTGTTTCATTAAAAAATATACGACGTGCTATTAGTGGGGTGATATCATTAAGATGCGATAACTACTGTAATGCGATAATAATTATTGTACTTGTACCTTTTTATTTTTTGGCTGATCGCTGGCGGTAAAAAATCACAACAGCAACTAACAGACTTTCGAGTGGGTTTCCGGCTATGGAGTGCCGTCACGATTGAACTTTCAACGACGAATCGCTCCGCCTGGCACCGACTAATTCTTTGGAACACCCAAAAATGCTTCCCGGCTACTATATATTATTATTATTATTATTATACACAATAAAACTATACCGAATACCGTACACACAAATGACAATAAAAAAACACGGTTCGTATATACCCTATACGTATATATATAAAAGTGGTTTCGATAGACGCTGTGGGTATATTGTGTAACTAAAGTAGTGTAAACTGTAGGTAACGGTGTAACAGCTTATACATATCTATGTATGTACACTGTTGTGTGTAAAATACATTACTCCAAAATATGATTCGTGACATCGTTTGATGTTGTTCGCGAAATCGCGTTTCATGACGTTTAAAAATATGGTAATACACAACAGAATGTAAAACACGAACGGTTTTTGCCAACGATTTTGATTACCCACGTTATCCCCAAGTATATTCGATTGCTGATCGCTGTAAAGATTAGTCATTAGAATCGACTTGATGTAAACAAGTAACTAATTCGCATTGCAAAAACCGTTTTACTGCGTTGTCAGATTAACTTATTCGCATTAATTTAATGTAAACTAATAAAATAGATTGTACACGATAAACGTGGCAACTAATTTATAATTTATTACCACGTTTTTATTGTAACAAAATTGATTAGCATTTGGATATTTTATATGATGCACCTAATTCCTGGATTAACTTGGATTCTCGAATTAGTTAATGTGCGGTAACACCTGCATACAAACGTGGTAAATTTTATGAAATTATTAAAAAATCTACAAATTTTGGTATGAAATTTATAAAAAAAAAAAACTAATAAATATTTCTTAATACTATATTATAACCTAACCCAAATGTCATATTTGTATATGATTCAACTAATTAGAATTAGCTGGTAAAACTGCGAAGTTTTCTAGTTTCATGAACAAGGTTGATGTACATGTTTTACCTCCAAGAATTTACTAATCGAACTAAAATGATTTAGCCGTGTATTGGTAAATGATAATTTATAATTATCATGTCACTTTTACTGATTTTTTCCAACATACATAATTAGTTACTAGTCAATACGTTAATGTAAAATGCAATTTGTATATACATGCTTAGTTCTATATTTTAACTATTAATTAAATTGTTCCAACTAGAAATTTACTGTGTTAATAGGTACCCTACAATATTAATCATAATTTTATTAGTTGGACAAACTATGTATTTTTTCTGTGTAAACTGTACCGAAAAATGTAAGTATAATAAATCTTGGCAGGTCTCGACAGACTTATGTAATCAAGATAATAATTTGTCGTGCAACTAAAAATTCACTAGTATTATCGATTCAACTTCTTTTTTTAACGTGTGCTAGTTAAATGTATGTCATCAGGCTACCGCCGTTATAACAATGCCGATTCCGTAGGGTCGTTAGACTTTATTTATTTTATTAGTGCCATCATCATCACTTATTGGCTGGGTAATCGATTCTAAACGCGTTTGACGACTTCTGCACTCCTCGATTTGATATTAATAGCATTTCAAAAAATAATATTTTTATTAGTTTTACATATTTGCATTTGTATGATAATGTAATACAATAAAAATAATAAAACTGCGGGCTTAGTTGTTTTTGGATTAGATGTTTCGTTTGGTTCTAAAAGCTTTTCCTAATAATTATATAACACGTTCTGAGAAACCTAATGGTAATTATGAGTGGTGGGGTGAAAAAACTCAATGTGACTGGAACACAACATACAACAGCACTCACATTCGTGCATGTTTGGTTATCGATGCAAACTCCGTCAAATAAAATAGTTAATGTGTATTTAAAATTTTAATCTGAAAAATTATACATTTAAATTATGTTGATCACATAGATATAATATATAATGAACTAGATTGCTAACTGTACATGCCATCAATAGAGAAGATTGAAGCAGCCACTTCCCGCCATCTTGGTGGGAATTAGAACCTTATCACGCGAGAATAATATATGTTTATAACAATCACATAATATATATATATAATATTGATATAAAAATATTTACAGGTATATATTATATGCATGGATAACACACATAAATCCCATCAGAATGACGGACCGTTGGCTTCAATTCTTATCGCCAGTTAGCAATCTAGTTTATTATCTGTGGTTGATCATAGTAAAAAAATTGCTTACTGTTGTTATCGTCGTTTATTTCCTAGTATTAAAACTCGTAGAATAACATTAATTCATTAACAAAACATTAAGTGTTTAGATAAAAGTTCACAAGTTCTAGGGCAATTTTTTTGACGTAATGGTTTTACACAATTACAAATTATCTGTTTTACCACGATTATATTAAATTAAAAATAAGTAATAAATCGTTATCAATATTCATTAGAGTAACATCATTAAATAAAATTATATTCGATAAAATATTTTGCTTTATGTTTGACTTTATAATGGTATGCTACTTGTTAGTTATTAAAAACAATTTTTTTTAAGTATTATAAAATTTATATGATTATAAATAATTATAATCAATGTGTATTAAGCCGCTTGTTCAGATTAAAAATCACAATAATTATTTTGTTTATTTTATTGTGTTGTAATTACTGTCTATTACTATAAGTTACTAGATTATTATAAATTTTAATAAAATTTATATTAAATTGAGCGTTAAAAATGATAGCAGTTAAAAGAACTAGTAATTTTGTTTTTAACTACTAACACTTATTAACACTCTGTTAATAACTCTCCGGTTCATCTTGGCCGCAAGTTTTCATAGCAAAACCTTGTTTTATTAATGAGAAGTTGAAAAAAAAAATTTGATTAGCTTAACTATTAAATTAAGTGATTTATAATATCGAGTATTTATATACAGGTTGTATTTCATTCAATAAAAAAAAATATGTTAAAAAGTGTAGGCCGTTTTTTATTTCATGCATCAGTTTCAAGGGCCAAAGTTATTAACTGGACTATAATATGCCTTGAACTACTTGTAAATAAACATTTAACTACAACATTATACTTTATTTGAAAAATAATGATAAATTATGGACTACTGTTCTATACATAGTTAATAAAATTGTGAGATTATCGAAAGTAGACAAATTAATCAATTATGTAATTATTGATTGTGTCTGTAACATTATTTAAGTTTGAAAATAACCTCTGCTAATTGTAAACACGCTACTACTTTTTAATAAAATGCAGTCATTTTTTAATACATGCGGCCCACAGACACAAATATATTATATCTGACATCAGTTTTTAATCAAATTAATCGTACTGCTTTAAACCTCTAAATTTAGATCTCAATTTAGCATCTCTGGTTTGATTTTTCTTAGTGTTTAAAAGGACCTCCATTCCAAATAGGCCGAATTCTTGGAAATAGTTCGAAAAGGAATAAGTTTTGAAACTGGTTCATCAAAAGCAAAAACCAATTTTAACTAAAAAGAATACTCTTTTTGAAGAACAATAACGTTGAAATATAATTTTGATAATGACAGTACCTAAATATTTATTTTAATTCATATAGAATTTATTTAGTTTATAAAAGTTTAAAGAATAATTAAATTGCTATACTGTCAATAACATGTTATTTGATAAGTTTAGCGGTCATCGTTTTAAGTTATTAAATATAAAAAGTCTCAAACTTTTAAGCTCATTTAGAAATGTGTTCAACTCTCCCGAGTACTGTTTTGTCTTACACGCACAAAATTTTAAGAGTCACGTGATCCTCAAAATAATCTATTCTAACCTCAATTTTCTTTTTGAAAAACCATTTAATAGTCATTGGGTTATGACTTAGCGATGGTATTGCGCAAATAATCCTGACCATTGACGTCATAGGTAACCTAATGCCCACGCCTTAAAGAGCGATAACATTTTTCATTATTTTTAGCAACAATTAATAAATAATTACTCATTTCTAAGATAAAAAAAAAAAGAACTTCCATTTTTTTATTACTTAAAGTTTACAGATACAAAAGAAATAATAAATAAACAATTACGTTTACTTTATTAATTTTACTAACTAATTAAAATTCCACACTTAGATAAGGTAACAACAAAATGAAATCTTTAACACATTCATTTGAAGCTACAGAAAATGGACGTATTTAACTTATTGACTTCAGTCTTTGTTTATGTTATAAAACTACGATTATTTTATACGGTACCTTCACATTGCATTTTACATTGATGTAAGCTGACTATTAAAAAAAATATTATAATTTTTTGTTTTTATTTAGATTAAACTATTTTGTTTTCAAACTGTTTAATAAAAATAAACTAACTTGTACATTGTAATAATTATAAAGAAGTGGTAAAATATTAAGGTAGAAATGAAATGACAAACGCAGATAACCCACTTAAAGCGCATAGGAACACGATCTCTCTTTCTCGCGAAATTTCAAAGACCCAAATTTTTTCCATTTACAACAACTCGTTTCTTAATCCTGTTTCTGGTATTACTGCACTGTCTTCATTCGATATTCGATTCGTATTTTGATCAGGTCTTTGCATTACAGAATACTGTTATAATCGCTGTAAGGTGTAAATAATAAATAGCATAACGCTTCAATAATTTTGTTTACATTTAAAAAATAAAAACAAAGTGCAAACGAATCGCAAGACTCGGGTATTTTAAAAAGGAATGTGCACTGTGTAAACGAATCACAAGACAAGTGTACGAGGAAAGGAAAAAGCACAAGGTGTTTAACAAACAAACTCTTGAACTTAAGCCTTGGAAAACGGACAGCGACAACCGAATACTTTTGACTGATGACCAACTAGTGCACAGAAGTCGACTGACAAAATAGCATTGAATTCTATTGTCTTTTATATTGTTTTACCTTTTGCAATTAAGCGTTATTGTTAATTTAATTGTATAGTCATCAGTCTCGAGTCGTCGGAAACACTGCCCATATTTATTTTTATAAATTTACCTATATTGATAGCGTGGTCATCATATATAACAAAACCTTTATCAGAATTTCGCTATATCTGGTCCTAGCCTTAGAATTTCTGGAACTTCAATTTTAAATCACATACAAAGTTGTGGTTTATAGAATGAAAATTTAAAATTTCCAAATCATCTTTTGTCTGTAAAAAATAACTAAAAATTGTCAATTAATCCTGAGGCAGACGCCAGACGACCTGAATTCGGTTAAGAAAAAAGAACAATAAACTCTTTTTCTAATAAATCTTAGAATAATTTTTAAATGACCAGAACACTGAAAATACCACAAATAAGGGGTTTTACAACCTTGTATTCGATTACAAAATATAACTGAAAACGCATCTTGTTAAAAAAAAAAGTAAAATTTTATTGAACACTGTAATTTTAAATATTTCGGTAAAAATATGTACATAAATTAAGTTTTAAAAGAATTACATACTTACAGTCAAGTAAAAAAAAAAACATGCATTATGTACAAAAAGTTGTGATTAATAATTTTTTTTCACGATTAAGTTCTCAATAAAGAATTATGTTTGAACAGTTATTTAAAATTAACAAAGTTTTATAAAAAAATTCACCATTTTAAAAAAAAAAAATATACAAATATGCGGCAAGCATTACGGAGCTAATTTCTTAAATGGGATAAAAGTCCAGACAGGCGAACCCGTTGCAATAATGACGAATTCTTTGTTTATTGCAAAAACTCACTCACACATGGCAAAAACGTCGTTGGCGATGGCAGTGGGAGTACAGAGACCTGTTAGTTGTGTGCTGCTGGCGACGACTATAACATTAATAGGTATAGTAGGCTTGTGTCGGTTCGCCGATAATTTCGTGTCGGTCAACCGGCAACACTGTTTGCCCTATACGGTGTAATGCACTGTGTAGGCAGTAGAAGTAGTGTATACTGTATAGTATACGGTCTGCCATCTGTCCAGAGGGGAGATTCTGAATTGTTTTCTTCAAATTCAATGTAACATAGTATACGAGGTACTAGCACTCAGCAGTGAGTGTCGTGACGTTGTCGGGTTAGTGCGTACGTTTTCGAATGTTGTTTATTTTGATTTGTTTTGTTTAGTTTATTATTGTTATAATTTTATCGTCTAAAGCAAAAGCAAAATATTATTATCAATCGAATTACTTATAATATAACTTGTTACTGCGGTTTTAAACTATTATATTGCATTGAACCGTTGGCCGTTTCGTTGTTATCGTTGTTATCTCACTTCGTTTCTGTGACCGTAAGATACCTGCCCAATTGCCGAGGATTATACCCGCATCTTTGTTTGAACTTTGATTCAATGGTGAGTTTTGCATGCTAAATACAATTACAATATTGCGATTTCTGAGTAGAGAGAAGTTCAGTAGTTGGTTTTAGTTTATTTTTATGTGATTCTATAATAATTGATGACGTTTTTCAACACAAAAAGTAATTAGTGTGTATCGGTTTTGGGTATCCAGACGAAATAGGAGTACATTTTCGTTTTTTCGGTACATTTTTTTTAAACATTTCAGATGTATTCTATAAGTAAGCAAAAAACGTGAGAGCAACAATAAGAAAAAAGTACTGTGTCCGACGACGGTCGCTTCGGCTTGACCTCGAAATCAAATACACGTCGTGTTTTTTGTCGTTTTGTGTTTAACCGGTAGGACACGCTGCGGGAGATTTGAATGAACGACTTAAGTGTCGATCAAAGTTTCAACTGCACAATTTATCGTTCTCAGCGAACAGAATAGATAAAAATTATTTCTGATCACCGCTGCTGTTGAGAACTTAAAACGATAAATTTGGGGGGGGGGGGAAATCCAGCTAGTTAAGCCCAACAAATGTTTGGTATTTATCTGAAAATCAAGATTTTATTGGGCTTGTGCATCACGTCAACGCTGTTACTCAACTATTTTGTTTATTTAAATAAGCGGTACAAGTGGCACTTATATTCAAAATCAAGTTGTTTTTGATAATTAATATGAATAAGGCCATATCAACGGTCTATTTAATGCGCAACAGCTAATATACCTGTCGTTTTAAAGTTATTGTTGTTTCAACAATCGATCTGCATTTATATTCTTACAAGACGAAAACGTCGCCTTGTTCATTATTTTGAAATGGCGCAAGGTTGGTTCATATTAATATGATACGGACTAAAATTATCCATGCTAATTAGTAATTACATATAATATTATATTTTACGATAAAATACCAACTAGCGTAACGATTAATCCCGTTATTTCATCAACTATAAATTATTTTAATTATCCGAGTATAATAAACGTATTTACATAATGCTAACTCATTTTATAAGTATAGGTAATAGTGTTCATTATCGATTAACTTCGAACGATAACCGTGGGCTATCTCAGTACAAAGTAAAACATTAAAAAATCGAATGGAATCCTAAATAAAAACGTCATAAATGCAGTAGAGTTAAAAATTGAAATTGTAAAAAAATCAACGCAGTTTAATATTAAAGCAGAACATAGAACAGTTAAAAGAAGTTTTTACTTCAACGGCTTTTAAACTTATCGACCACCATATGCTTAATTTATTTTTCTTTATTTCTTTTTCCCGTTTATCATGGATTTTTTTCAAAAAAATTAAATTTTCTATTGTAATGTAACACTATACAGGACTATACGATAAGTACAATAATAGTTTACACAGCATATTATTATCATGTCTGAAACGGAGACGAGCGAGATCTAATTAAATCATCATAATAATATATTATGCTATATGATCTAACATAATATGTGTTCTTCTTCTTTTTGTGGTACCGATTTCGTTTTATATATTTTGAAAACGCGACTTCCTTTTTGGGAGTACTCGGGACTTTTTAAATTTTTATTCAAGTGTCATTGAACCCGCAGTTCTTCGTTCCACTTTAATATTATAATAAAAGTGTGTAGCTAACACAAAATCAATGATTAACTGACTGCATCAGGGGACCGGAGTCGAGTTTCAATGGGGAGGAAATTATAATTATTAACTATTGGACCCCATTTGATTATTGTACTCGTTTAGTAGCCGGTGATGGTACACACACCCTCGTCGTTTTGATACAACTAAAAAAAAAATGGTTTAAACACACCGTTTGGTCATTGCATTGGCCACTTCTACTATCAATATAGTATAGTTTTGCAATAGCAACAGTGCAAAAACTGAATTGCTTAGTGACGAACAAAGAACTTGATCCAAATAACAGCTGAGGCGGTCACGTGTGTCCGTTTAAAAGCAGTAATCGCATTCCGGATAAACATGTTGGGTAATCTCAACGATAGCTGATATACATTGTATTGTGCGCCAGACCAGCTAGGCTATTCGGTATTGATTGTCTGTGAGCACAGGTGTACTTAACATATTTGGTAATTTAAAAAAAAAAAATGAATAACTACCTACCGTATTTCCGTTATTGAATAATTCCATTTTAGTATTTAACTAGCTTATCTAGCCAAACCTTAAGCGTTAAGTCCTAAGACAATATTGATAAATCGTCCCGACTAACTATCATAAGAATATCAATAAGTATACTTCAGACGGTGTCACCCAACTCTCTTTGTGTTCCACTATGACCACATAATATGCCACCTAAGCATATTATGTGGTGTAGGCAACAATATTGGCGTTAAAAATAGCTTGTTGTCAACACACATGTTTCTTAACACGCTTAATCGACCAATTTGGTATTGTTCTTATTGTTGTATTAAAAAATTAACGTTTTACGGGTTTTTTGGACGGAGACGATAGACGAAACTACAAACCTTTGGTAACAACGACTTACAAGGTATCACGTGCGGTATGTGCGGACAATGCGGAAAAGTCGCATTATTATACATTATATAATATAATAATATAATTTACATTATTATATGAATACACTCGAAAGTGCGTTATATGATAATAATTTATTCGACAATTAATCTAGAGATATGATATACATGTATTATAATATATTGTATTATGATAATCTCATTTGATGTACTGTATTAAAGTGGTATTCCATAAGCGTAAATAGCCTAAATCTTTAGCCGAGAAGGGGGCGAAAAGAAAAAGAGAGGAGTGGCTATATTAAATTTAAATTTCTGATATTTTAACGAACTCTGCTTGCGTTGATGAGGTTAACAGAAAAATCCAAAATGGTGAATGTAATTTGCAAAACAAATCGCTCATAGGTCGAAATAGTGCAAATGCAAAATACTGCACTATACCGTACTTTACCGTGTCAAATGTCAATATACCCATTCGATTGACATTTGGATCACCCGAAAACCACTAAGTATTTTTTTGTTTTTTGAGATTTCGTTTAATAAAACATTATACCTCGAAAATTACAAGTATATTAAGTAGATAATAATATGACACGTGGATTGATAACATAATATTCACCCTGAGGTTATCGCATCTAGCGATTGATTGTTGATCCAATTATTTATACAATAACTGAATAAGGATTCCGCAATAATAAGTAATATCATGTACATTTTCACTAATGGCTTTTGTATGCAATTAACTGGTGATATCGTCCGTTGCTATAAGATGCATTGTTACATTTTTTTCTTACAATTTCGTTTCCTACATAATGTAATATATTTACATTAGTCGAACTACACATTTGTGACATACTTATTGAAATTAGCGAGTTAAGCACACGGCCGTGACTTTCTCTCTACTTTCATTCAACCCAAACGAACCGGCCAACGACGGTCATCGTCACGTGACATTTAACTGATCCAAATAGTATGCATTTCACATGATAATCATAATAATATGAAATAATAGGCTTAAGATTAATACAATGTACAATAAGATTGTGTAGGATCTATTGATTTCGCTGGAATGCAATTGGGTTGGTTCGGCGTCGTGATCATGAACAGCTGATAAATAGAAAATAAAAGGTATATTATATTCTGTTTAAATGTACTACACCGTCGTATAGCTTTAGAATAGAATAGGTAAACCTAAAAAAAATAAAACGGGTATTTCAATGAAGCGGCATACAAAATATCGACAAAACCTGTTTCTTTATGACTGACCTAAGAGTTATCAAGTTCATCGACGTCAACGTCTGTAATATTTTACTTTTAAGAGTAAAAAAAATTGGCAAAACATCCGTTACGTTAATAGTCATCTGTTAGGGTCTGTTTATCATATTTTTCTTGTAAGTTAGTTACTCGTTTATAGAAAAATCTTGGGAACCAATAATTTTTGTGCAAGTATATGTTTAGTTTTCATCAAAATTTCCAATATTTTAATAACTACAAATGATTATAGAATTAGATTTTCGATGAATCTGTCAAATCGTACCAATGAAATAATCAAAACAGTCAGTCTGTTAAGTTATGAAAAATGTATACCTACTAGTGATGGAAATAAGAAAATCCAAATTTTCACAAAAAAACGCTATTTTAGCCACTTAAAAATCGTATAAGCATTAAATATTTTTACTTAAACTGTAAAAATATTTAATGCTTATAAGATTTTTAAGTGGCTAAAATAGTGTTTTTTTTTTAAATCCGGATTGTTTTAAATAGTTTAATTAGTGTTATTCGAACGGGTGTTCTACGCGATGGTACGCGTCTACAGCTGTTCGTTATTTGTGTGTCGACACGAATGTTTGTTTATGGCACAGTATATATAGGAATTTCACACGTCAGGTTTATAAACATTTTGAACTTCAGTGTTCTGGTCCAGTAAATAAAAAAAAAGCATTTGGCAACACGGTACAAAAATATATAGTAATATGCAAATAGAGACACGTCATAAAAATTCGAAATGTTCAATTACAATTTTTTTCCAATGGTCATTACATGTTTGCTCAACAATGTGTACGTAATTTGACAGCACTGTTTAACTTGACTAAAACTAAAATTTTTTGAAAATCCCATCAGTATTTAACACATTTAGAATGAAGCGATAACAAAAGGAGAAATAAATACAACGAAACTCAATCCATGCGCAATATTTTTCAATCTTTATATTTTTGAATACAAGTCATTAGTCATGCGTAATTAATACATTGCAGAGTAATTATTTGGGATTACAAAACAAGCGTAATCCGGTCGAAGCAAAACAATAATAAGAGAATAGTGTCGACTCATAAAGCTTTTTGTAGTTGTTCGAAAATATCAGAGGAATTTTGGTTTGATTCGTTTATATGTTTATAGCACCGTTAGAAGCTTGGTGCATGTGCAGTAAAAATAATACACCAAAATAGGTACACACCAAACACATAAACAGTTATACTTTTTTAAAAACTATTTTTACTAATGTACAATAACATAATGTCATACATATTTGCAGGTGCAT